TTTTTGCAGTTGAAAAGAATGGTGACGTATGCATATCAATATTACATGAACCTGGCGATGACAAGTGGGGCTACGAGAAGGCCTCAGAAAGATGGCTTCCAGTTCATACCGTAGAGACAATCCTAATCTCAGTAATATCAATGCTGGCTGATCCCAATGATGAAAGTCCTGCCAATGTGGATGCCGCTGTGAGTAGGCCTATTTACATATTAGTACATGGTAGTGCAATTGGCATTCTGTGAAAACAAATCTGTCTTGTATAAATGTAAATCCTTTTAATCATATCTAGGCCTATCTTTACATAATTAGGCAACTGAAAATTTCAATAGAGGATCTCAGTGTTTCACTGTTTGCCAAGGCTTTTTAAGAGTAAATTACAAATTCAGTGTAGATGAAATAATATAATGAAGATAGCGCAAGATTATTCAATACTCTACACTACTATTGTAATAGATTAAAAGCTAGAAGCTTCAAAAATTTTAACTCCTATGTACATTGTCAGTTCCAAAATCCCATGCATGATGTCACCTTTCAAGGCATTTGGTACGCTACAAAGAAAGTTCTCAATAAAGACAGAAATACCATAGTAATAAAATCTGCAATTTAAAAAAATACTTGTAATAAAGAAACTGTGGACTTTTAATATATTTGCAATAGCTCAGTTTTATGATCAAAGTGAAGCCGAGATCTGAAAAAAGACACTTTTAGCCTGTGTGTAACTATTTTTCGTCACATTGCAACATTGTTTAACAAACTAAGTGAGAGAAGATAACCTCTCAAAACGACTTATAGCTTCAACTTTGCTGTTTTCAATTTTGCTAGTGCAAACAGGGCCACAGCTGGGGGGGTAGGCCTACTTGTCATACAACATGTACATGTCAATTTGTATGTTTTGTCAAGACCTGTAAAATGATACCAAACTCGACCATACTTGTCATTTGAAAATTTTGAGCTACCCCCTATCCCCGCTTCCCCTAAGGGCAAAATTTTCAAAATTGACCATAATTATTGTAGCCCCTTACAGCTAAGAAGGTTGCCACAAACAGATTTCAAATATCTCAAATGGTTGAAAAGTTAAGGGGGGGTGCAAGTTACTTTTCAGCCACCCTGTATGTATTGAGAGCTGTATGTTGACTCTAATTTAATAACCAAATATTAAAGAATTTGTTTTATTTGTTCTTATAAAAATTGTACTTACAGTTGTTTAAAGGTTTATTGCGGACATTTTCCATGAGAATGGTAAAAAACATTACACAACGTTTCGGGATCTGTAATCTGATCCTGTCCTCAGGTGAAAAAAACTTAACTAACACATTACAGCTAATGATACACAAACGCCCAACCTAAGTTGAAATACTGTACACTACAGATGGTGGCAGTCAAAAAATATGCACTGTATAGCAATCAAGTCATGATACAACATAAAACCAATTAATCACAAAACACTATAGTCTATAAAAGGGGCAGTGTGAACAGCTCACACAATGGAACACTAATAGCACCGTTCGCAATGACTCCACCAATGAGACTCAAGCAACATGGCCGACCAATCGGAAACACAGAGACAACAGATATGGCGTCCGGGCCCTGGGAAAGTAAAGCCAACAAAATGGCGGAGCGATGTACGATGCCGCAAAACAGGTGTCAATTCTGTTTATTCCTATTACGAGTTTTACTACGAGTTAAAAAACGTGCGAATTGTGAGGAGAACTCGTTATTTCCCTATTTATTGAACAATTAAGTTCCCTATCCTTTAGTTCCTCGTTCAAAATGGGTAGCCACCGTGGCCTGATTTCAACCGATGACTTGACTGATTGGTTGGTCTGCTAATTTAATGTATGAGGCTTCAATGAGTTTACGTTTGAAAAAAATTAGGTTCCTTATGGACAATTTTTGCCTCTTCATACGATGATTTTCGGACCAGCAATGATGAGCGATCTTAGATTTTTCCATAAAATCTTTTTTGGTGTTTTCTCTGTGTTCTTTGATTCTAGTGTTCAATGGTCTTTTTGTCTCGCCATAGTAAGGCCTGTAACAATCATTACAATTTATTCTGTAAACACAGTTTTTAGTATCCCTGAGTGACATTTTTGGGTTTTGTTTTGACGAGACTCTGCCTAAGTGTGTTTTGTGTCCTAAGCGCTGTTTGCACATTACATTTCCTAGCAACCCTTCTGATTTTTTCCGATAGCCCTGACACATACAAGATTGACATGTGGACACAAAACGCACATTATTGACATGTGGCGTTTGGGACACATAACATTCATTAACTGACTATGCTAATTTTGGCTGTTTTATGACATTGTCAATAGTTTGTATAAGTTTACAAGACAATAAACACATTTCATTTCAACACAAAGTTGTTACTGTTAGGAGATTTTGTTCTTTACACATTTTCTTGGTTTTTGTGTATCTAATCAAGGCCCCACTAGAAAAACAGGCCATGCCGCAGGATCCATGACGTCACACTAGTGGATAGATTTCATTGATAAATTCATTACCATCACCATTCCCATATGTTTTAGGTAAATAAACAAGCTGGCTGTTTGTAAGATTTTAATGGTAAGAGTTTAGTACAACTATCCACCACTGTGACATAGTGTTGCACTGCCCATGCTGCAGCATGGCCTGTTTTTTCTAGTGGGGCCTTGATCTAATTTTCAAGTGATGTTTATTGTTGAGAAGAGTTAAGTATTGAACCCCGATAGGAGGACCTCCTCAGCTCGTTGTTAACCATGAAGGAGAAATGTCTCCAGTATGGATTGAAAACGTTGCTACTTTCCTGGGACTGACATGCTTCTGATATATATTTTTTCAATCGTGACATTTGTCAACTTTATTATTGCCCCTATTTATTTTGAGTCTGGTATCCTGAGGGTGTTGTTGTTCCACTTACTTGTTTAGACTGCGCCCCTTGCATAGCTCCTTATTTTCCCTTGTTGGTCTTGTGGATACAATCAGCCCTCCTCCTTTGGCCTGTATTCTTTTAACGATTTAGTATGCCTGACAATGAATGACGCTTTGTCGTTGAAACACGCAATCCTGTTCATTGGATGACAAGAATCACTTGGCAATCAAGGTAGTATAACCTTATTTAGAATATATCATCAGTGATTCAGGAAACAAAAAGAAATGAAATTTAATGGTAGTTTACTACTTACATACATTTCCCATTATGAGTACAAAATTGAATAGCACAGACCTACATTCACACAGATTATATTTACTACAAAACTTAGTCATACGTAATTGTTAGCGATAGATGGTTCAAAACTATGCATTTCCAGAAAACAAAATTCCTTAAGGGCAGGAAAAAAACTAAAAATATAACTCAATTTAGAGATTTTGTAAGAATATCTAATAACGACTATCAATATTTTTTGTATCTTTGTAAACAACTTGTAAACATTTCAATGACTGTTTAAAACCAGCTGTTAATTAAACCATAAAAATTATTACTAGACTTTCTCTTCCTCTCAAAATTATCTTTCTTTCAACAGAAGATTCATAACAATCCTTTTAAGTGGTAGATTCAGAATCCTCGGATAAAAACCCCTCCCACGTTTTAATATATAAGATGATCTGAAAGAATTGGTTTTTTTGCGTGCTCCCTGTCAGCTGTTGAGTGTCGAGTTGTCAAGTTACTGAGTGTCCAGTTAGTGAGGGTTTACTTTAGTAGTTTTTATATTTATGATCCTGATCTATTACTTTAAGCTGATTTATTTATAACCTAAGCTACCTCTGACACGGTTATTCTCACTTTTGAATTTTACTATTACAGAAAGAATGGAGAGAGAATTACATGGACTTCAAGAGGAAAGTTGCTAGATGTGTTAGAAAAAGTCAGGAAGAATGTTTGTAGGATATTATGTATTTTAAATTTGAAAGTAAAGGATGCCATTAAAAAACCAGGTAATTTATTTATAAGTTTGTTCAAGATTTCATCCAAACCTTGATAACAGTTGTATTAAGCTAAAGCATGTTGAATTTCGCTAGGTATTCTATGATATTGTGCATGAATATTTCTTGTGAGTAAGTAACAATTTGTTAACTAGTTGAAAACATTGTAGTCTTTGTGTGTAGGGTTATTTCCATGTGTAAGTAAAGAATATATGCTTATTTCAAAAATTAATGAAAAGAATGGAAAAATAAATTAGCCCATTCTTTTACTAATGTTTTCTAAGATTTTATTAGTGTTTGATAAAAGGTTCTGCTATGTCGGGAATCCCAAGAAAGTCGAGGATTTTGAAAGGTGCGTGAAAAAGTAAGAATTTTGGCTGTAGGTTGAGAGTGATCTTACTCTCCAAATTCAAGATCTAGACGGGATTTAAAATTTATGTGTTAGATATATTTCCGATCATTGGAACAGGATTACATTTGATTCAGGATTTTTTTCTGTGATTTCGCCGCATTGCAAGTAGAGGTGTGCGGATATCCGAAATTTCGGGTCGGTTTCGGTTCGGTTCGGATATCCGTAACCGAACCGAGCCCAAAACTGATATCCGACACTATCCGTTAAATATCCGACATTTCCGGATAGACTGTATATAATGACGTTTGAGACAGAGGTCAAAATATTCATAAGGTTACTTAAATCATCATTATTTTCCCACGACGTAATAATTTCAACACCACTCGTTCACATGACGTTACAGCGGTCGATGAGTCATCGTCTATGACACAAAACTAAAATCAATATCGTCGCCGACCGCCGTGGAAAATAACCGAATCTACAAATAAATACAGCAATGACAATCGATATTCGAAGGTGAACATCGATGGTTGACCTATCGATGCCCATCCCTATTCAATAAAAATGGATAACAATACATTTTAATCCCGTGCTTATTATATTCTTTCTTGAGTTTTACTTTTGTCTAGCCTAAATTATCCGTGAGCTCGATGACGAAGCCGTATGATGGAATACCGAAATCTCATTCAGTTGTTTATCGGCTGTTCATTCATTTGCTTTTACTTTACGATTCGATTTATCTAGAATGAACAGGGATAAAGCAGAACAGATATACCGAGGTCAAGTGAAAGTCAATGTAAGTTGTCTGTTGCTAGGGGTGCTGTGTGACCTTGGCGGCGCTACGCTACGACGCACTTACATACGTCACTAGTCGGCCATTATTTATGTGCCACTGCAAGACAATAATAAGGCTACAACGTTACAACTGTTAAAAAGTTCGACTGCCGCGGGATTTATATCCCGAAAATGGGAATCGTAGACTTAGAGCGGGAAACGGAAATCGGAATTTGCTGCTTTCCATTTCCATATATAAACGTATTAATTGTTGGATAATTTGTTTACGACAGTGACAGTGTTACTGCAAGATTTAAGTGTTATTTAAATAGTCTTATCTAAACATATTACGTCAAAAAGGTAACACCGGAAAAAGTAAAGCGGGATAAGGTCGGACTTTAGACGTTGAATTGGGATAAAACGCGATTCTTTTGACCGGTTTAACTCGGTGAGTGGGATTTTTATTTGGTCGTCGTGTGGACTGTGAGTGTGAATTGGACTGTGGATTGGAAGCTGGAACGTTGGAACTAGAACTAGAACTGGAGTTGTTTTTGTTTCGTTTGACATTGGAAAACATCAACAATAATTGACATAACAAAACCAACAAACCGGGGAAGAGAATTTACTAACTTAATTAAAATATTGTTTGAGTAATGTTACAAATTTTGAATAAAAATGGATCCCGGTAGGCCTACATCAACAAAGAAGAAGAGTGCTATATGGACTTATTTTAGAAAACTTGAAGACACCGAAAAGGCGGAATGTATTACGTGCAAACTTGTGCTAAAGGTAGGTCTTTAGTTATATTTTTGTTGAACATTAATTTTAATAATTTTTCAAATGCGATGTTTTAACTGTGAGAATAATTCGTTGCAGATTAAGTTAAATTAGCTAGGACCAATGGTGCAAGTCACACCCTTGTTATAGGCCTAGCCTAGCATCAAAGCCCTTACTTTCCACACGTTTTTTACTGTCTAAAAACATTAAAATAACTTAAATAAATCTTGAAAGGCTACAAAATATAAATTAGGCCCTTGAGTAATCTATGATTCTGATAGGTTTTTTGTTGTTTTGGCAATGAAGAGGCAGATGCCCATTGATAGATTGGGCTTACCCTACTTAATTTATTTTCATAATAACAATAAAATAACCTAACCTTAAAGTTATTTGGTACTTTCCTGTTAAAGAAAACATTCATTATTATAGCAAATTTAATTTTTTTTATTCTATATTTTTTAATCGGATATACTGATATTATTGAGCAAGATGTCAGCTGACAACTATGATAAGTATTTAAATATTGTTCAGTATCAACAAAGAATTTTAAAATATTAGGTAGGCCTATATTGAAATGAAATTAAACTGTTCTTAACTAACCTTACCTAACCAACCAAACGTGCTCTAGGCTAACATTTCCAAATCTTGTTTCAGTCACATGCCTTTTCTGTTATCAAACGAAATGTTGAAATGGTACAGCAAGTTTGGTTAGTTATGTTAGGTTAGTTTAGAACAGTTTTATTTTTGGACATAATATATTATTTTTGTACAAACAAGATCAGTTTGTTAATTTGTAATTGAAATGTGTTTAAATATATTAAAACAGGAGGTATGGATCGTAAAGGAAAACGAAAATATTGATATATCGAAAGAAATCAGATTGGGTACAGTTTCTTTACTGGGCTACGCTAATTAAATTATTGATTAATAATCAAAATTTTAAAATATATCTATTATGAAATTAAACAATCATAACCTAACCTAACCAACCAAACTTGCTCATGGTGAAAAAATCGCATGAAGGTTTACTAATCGAATGGATAGTTTCAATCAATATTAGCGTAGCCCAGTTAAGAAACTGTACCCAAGTAAAAATTTGGTTAGGCCTATGCCTACTATGTTGTTAGTTACCAAATGGTCTAACGACAGCCATATTAATGACAGTTATCAAATCCTGTGTCGCCAACTTTGCAGAATTGTATTATTATAAATTGGTCTGAAGTAAAAAATATATTGGATCAAAAAGTTTTAGTTTTCCAATTCCAATACAGATATTTACTTGCAGATTGGAAAGACTGCTTCAACTGGCAGTCTTATTAACCACCTGAGAAGGCACAAGAAAGAATTTCAGGAATTTAGCAAAGAGCGTTTGAATGTAAACAAACAAAAAGAAGAACAACCCTCAACCTCGAAACAACCATCGGTTCAAGATCTTTTTAAGAAAAAGGAACGTTTTACTACCTCACATCCGAGACACATACAGATAACAAAGGCCGTGACGCGAATGATAACGACCGACCTCCACCCATATTCTCTAGTGGAAGAGGCTTCATTCAAAAATTTGATGGATATACTGGAACCAAGATACCAGCTGCCTTCCAGAACGACGTTCTCCAGGACATTGGTTCCGGAACTTTATAAAAGTGAGAGGGAAAGAATAAAGTCGACTATTACAGAAGATGCTAAAAGTCTGTTATCGATGTCCCTGACTACAGACACATGGACGTCAAGGGCAAATGACTCGTTCATGTCCCTAACACTTCATTACCTGTCAAAGGACTTTGATTATAAGTCATTTGTGCTAGGTAACAAGAACATAACAGAGGCCCATACATCACTTTTTTTGTTGGGGCAACTAGAAGAGATGGTGGAGAACTGGGAGCTCCCTAAAATCCCTATTTATGTCCTCAGTGACAACGCCGCCAACATTAAGGCTGCTTTGGACAAGTCTTCATGGGAAAGGATTCCATGCTTTGCCCATACATTGCAGCTTGCAATCCACGATGCTGAGTCAGAAGTTCCCGGGATCAATGAAATGTGTAAGAGAGCACGCAACATTGTTGGCCACTACAGCCACAGTTCAAGTGCAAGAGCCCGACTAAAGAATATACAAAAAAGACTCTCTTTGCCTGACCATGAGTTACTACAAGACGTTGCTACTAGGTGGAATAGTAGGTACGACATGTTAAGTAGGCTTCTGGAACAGAAGGAAGCCGTATCAGCCGATATAGCTGCTTCAGCTGACATAGAAAACCTAACAACAAGCCAGTGGAAATTGGCTTCTGGTGTCGTAGAAATACTAAAGCCCTTCAAGGAAGTGACAACCCAGCTATCATCTGAGAAATACCCAACAATTTCCATGGTTGCCCCGGCACTTCATGTTATAGAAGACTACTTGTTGAATTTTTTAAGGAAAGGAGAACAAGGAACCGGTTTATCACTGGCCAGAGCACTATCAAAGGCCATAAAATCTAGATTTCCAATTTACAGAAAAGACAAAATGTACATCGCACCAATGATACTAGATCCAAGGTACAAAACTAAAATCTTCAGTGAAGCGGAACAAGGTCTTGCTTTGACAACCCTTAAAAGCTGCATAGCAAACCTACCAAAGCCAACAACCACTTCTCCATCAGCATCAACTGAACTCTCTGCAGACCTGACACAACCCGAAACTTCAAAACAATCCGATGTAAAAACATTGTGGTCAACATTCGATTCAAGTGATGACGAAACTTCAAGTAGCAGCAACCTTGTCGATAAAGAATTAGATTTCTATCTGGAAAAGAAAAGAATATCCACAGTAGAAAATCCTCTACACTGGTGGAAGGTAAATGCCCACCATTTCCCTAACTTAAGTAGAGCCGCCCAATTCTACCTCGGAATCCCAGCGACCCAGACCAGCAGTGAGAGGCTCTTCTCATCATCGGGCCTAATTGTTAATTCTAGACGAGAAAATCTACTTCCCCAGCACGTAGAAGAAATATGCTTTTTGCATGGGAACATAAATCCGCAAATCTAGAGGGAGTACTCAAGTGAACCATTGTTTCTCGGCTGACAGACAAAGTCATTTGTTTTGTGTTCAAATTTTACAGTTGCCTTTTTACACCTTTTTAAATATATCATGTAGTGTATAAAATTAGTATTTTTAGGTAATTTGTTTATATTTTTAAGATGGCTTTTCTAACCAATTTTGTTTTATAGTTTACAATTTAAATTATTATTTAATTTTAGTTCCTGAATATTCATCTGCCTTTGAATTTACAGTACGGTCAATAATTATTGTTGTTCTGTTTATTTTAGTTTAGTTCTTGTTCTTAATATTTGTGCCAATTCGTGTTTCAATATTTTCCCGCTTAGTGATATAGCCTATGTATTTGATTGTTTATTGTTTAGGCCTAATACATTTTTGAATAATTGCTAAAGACTGATTCTTAAAGACTGATTTTTAGAGTAGGTAGTAGGCCTACAATATTCTTATTTTTAACCTCTTATTAAAAACTCTTAAATCATTACATCTTCAACTAATTTTCATTTAACTTAAATTCTTCTAAGTGATCTCCTTAGTTTAAAACTTTAATGTGATAATGTTTATTTTATTGTGATATTGTCAAATGTATTTAATGTTTCTCGCTAAAGACTGATTTGGCTTGTAGGCCTACATTAATCCTAACTTCTGAGCTCTTACTAACAGTTATAAAACATTCATACATCTTTGACTTTATTTTTTTTAATTCTTAAATTTAGCGAATTTTTATCTGAGTATTGATTTTGTTCTTAGTCTTATCTTAAGTTCTTAACATTTTAATGTGATTATGTGTTGTGATTGTGACAAATTGTTAACAAGTATTAAGTCATTTAAAGTATTAATGTTATTGCAAAATGATCTCTTCATTTTATGTGATTCTTAAATGTTTTATGTTACCCTAATGTTTTACAGGTAACCTAAATTTTTATTTTTATTATTGTTTGTTGTAGGCTATAATTACCATGGTTTATTTACCAAATGTGCCTAGTCAACAGAGTAGTTGACCTTTGTTACCTTTCTTGACAACTAGTGCCATCCAATGAGACTTTTTCTATTATAGTTTATATATTTTTATCCATTTATGTTTGTTCAAGTATTTATTAATTGTTCAAATTTATGATAGTAGTCTATGTAGTATGTTGTGTGTGGTTTTGTTACCCCACTTGTTATTTAGGGGCTATTTATTTTCATTTGTTTGTGTGATATAGTTCAATCAATATTTTATTCAATGTTTAGTCATTATTATATGCTAGCTAATTCAAGAGCAGCTGAGGTTTTCTATTAAACATGTTCTTATGGTGAAAATTGTTATCTTTAACCCCTAACCCAAATTCTTGTCGGTATACTTATTTGTAAGATAGAGTAATGCTTTACAGTGATCTGCCAATTAATTACTTTATTTAAGCTTGATGAAGTATCAAATCTAGTACACATGTTTTTACCAGCATTTGTTGTATTAATTCTTTGTGGAATTTTAAGGAGAAATAAGTAGTGAGTTTCATGGCAGTGTTTGAGTTAAAAGTGTTTGATTTTTTTATATTGAACACAAATCAAGCTTCAACAACCAACAAAGTAACAACTAACAAAATGTTAACTTACAGTAGGTAGGCCTACTTTACTTTTATATATTTTTATAAACATTAACTGATTAGCGAGCAAGCTTTTAAAACTTTAATGTATTATCTGATGGCCAACATTAAATTATGTTAGCTTACTGAAAAACACACTGCGACCAGCTAATAGCTAATGTTGTTCAATTTGTTTTAATCATGTGTTATTTTCTTATTTACTATTATAGAAATTTAAGATGTAATTGCAGCATTCGTATTTGTGGTCTAAGGACATAAAAACAGTTATAAACACACAGTCATAGTCATATAATCTTTATTCAGGAGTACAACATGTTGCACCAGAATGGTGTTATACAATTAAATTATATTGTTAAAACTAACCATAACTTATATAAAAAGGCTAAACAAAAATACAAAATACATTACAGGTTTATAAATTTAGGCCTAATGACCCATACAGTAGAGTAATTTTGATCTGATCAATAATATTAGTTTAATGTTAGGATATATGAAAATGACGTTAACTTATTAATTTTGGTATTAATTTAATAAATAACAGCGAACTATCCGAATCCGAAGATATCCGAATCCGAACCTATTACTATCCGATCCGATCCGATCCGAGCCATAACTATCCGATCCGAATCCGATCCGAACTCAAATTTCACTATCCGCACACCTCTAATTGCAAGTGACGGTGATGACGTTTCCGCGATCGAGGAAAAATTTTGTCAGTGTAGCTGGTAACAATGATGATGTCCCCGTGATTGTGAGACATATTTACGATGATGTCTTCGTGGTCGCAGTATCTTAACATTTGCACCGTGACAGCGAGAAAAATTGAATATGGCGCCACGAACATGGGACATGTTGAAAATGGTACCGTGACTGCCAGGCCCGTCGACGTTGGCACGCAGGTCATGTGATGATGGTGCCGCGACCGCGGGACATTTTAATTTTTATAACAGGCTTTTATAAAAATGGCTAATTGTATGAAAATAGTCCAAGAACACTTTTTATTTAGCATTTAGTTCCCTATCAAACAACATCAAGATTAAAAACCTTAAATAATAAATAGCTGAGAAATCGTGATTTTTAGTTACGTACAGAACTGGCAAAATAAGGCCAAGCTGTAGGAGTTTTCCCTATTTTGCGTCTAAAAATTTTGATTCCTCCGCTATTTTTTATTTGATCATTTTGAACTTGGAGTCGTGTGATAAGAAATGTTAAGTGATAAATAAAAGGTGTTCTTGGCATTTTTCATAAAACCAGCCATCTTTTGGTAATTAAAGTTACAAAAATTCAAATGGCTGCCATTTTTAAACCAAAAGATTTATCTTAATGCTAAAAAAATAGATAATGAAGTTTTTAATTAACCCTTTGAGTGCCAACGTCCGGGGAACCGGACGTTTTTAAAACGAGCCAAAAGTGCCGACGTCCGGCCGACCGGACGTTTTTAGAACGAGCCAAAAGTGCCAACGTCCGGCTGACCGGACGTTTCGTAATGATCGAACAGTTGTCATAACAACCGAATGGATACTCGGATTCTTTTAACCCATATATTAACATTGAGTCGAAAGTTACTACAGTCCACTCTTGGTAATTCAAACACTTGATAATTCAAAACTTTCGATAATTCAAAATGAAGGCTCAGTCCCTAGAGAATCTCTCAATATTTCAAATTTTTACCATGCATTTTGATACACTCGGTATTTCAAAGTCCAAATGGAGGGCAGGTCAATTTGTAACACGCAGTAATTCGAAGTTTCGTCGGAAAAACACTCTATAATTCGAAGTAACTCAGTAATTCGAAGTTTCGTCGGTTAACACTCTATGATTCGAAGTCATGCTGTAATTTGAAGTTTCGTCGAAAAAACACTCTATAAATCAAAGTCACGCAGTAATTCGAAGTTTAGTCGGCAAAACACTCTATAATTCGAAGTGATCTCTTCCTGTTATAAAAGGAAACTATACAGTACAGTACATCCTGTTCCCATGGTAGGCTAGTGTTGGACGTTTTGATGTTTGTTTAGTTAGAGCAGTAGTCAGAGTTAGTTCGCTGACTTGTTTTTCTAAGTTGGCAATCCAATCTCTAGATTGCGCGACATCTCCTTGAGCACAAACGTAGTTGTCGACAGCTGATAGTTCAGCTATTGGCGAAATATATAGCGCTAAATAACAGATTTCTTTGCAACTACAGTAACTGAAAAATAAGCCGTTGATTGTTTAAAAGTGTACTAAAATACGGTATGATGTTTTATTGTAGGGATGGTCAAGTCTCGAAATTTCGGGAAATTTTCAATCTCGTTACACGAGACGAGATTACTTTTTGGCCGAGATTTTTATCGAGACGAGAATTAAAAAAAATAAAAAAAAAATAAATAAAAACGCCTGCAGAAAGTCAATGCAATACCCGCAATACAGGAGCGTGTTGTAGTTGCGTTTCCTTTTCGAAGGCGTTCTTATTTAATTAATTCTTTTAATGTAAATATTACTTTAATTCTTTTAATGTAAATATTACTTTCATTATTTTAATAATATTACTTTAATAACATTTGAGAAGTTTTGTTAAGTGTAAGCAGTGTGAGGAATGTTTTATTACTATAAAAAAAGTCAAAACAAGTAACTATTTTATAAAAATTAATATTGCTTTTATTTTATGATTTATTTTATTTTAGGATAAGTTGAACTCTATCCTAACTGATATCACCATTTGGGGGAGCGAGCTGGCGTAGTGTGAGGTCCCGGGTTCGATCCCCGCCAAGTCACCAATGGATTTTATCTAAATGATAATGCCGCAACCCCTAGGTCTAGCCTGAAGTAATGTGAAAAACAATCCCAGACTCGTGCCTAGCGTCCTTAGGACAAAAAAAAAAAAAAAAAAAAAACTGATATCACCATGTTTCCTAATCGTAGGCATTTTTAATAGGTTAGGCGTGATTAATAAAAAAATGTTATGCTGATGTTATTTAATGAAAGATTGTAAATATTCTTGCCTATTATCATTATTTTAGTATTTAAACAGTCATCTAACAATGTTACAAAATCAGGTAAAAATTTCGAACGTGCATTTCCCGTTGTGTATGAGAAGAGAAATCTCGTCTCGAAATTTTATGAGAAATAAAAAATCTCGTCTCGTCTCGTCTCGAACTAAAAATCCAATCTCGTCCATCCCTATTTTATTGTAACGTGCTGTACCTTTGTATGTATTAAACAAATGAACTCTCTGTAATTCGAATGGTTTATTTTTCTCCCGATAAATCGAACTCTTGATAATTCAAAACTCTTGATAATTCAAATTTATATGCTTGGCCCACCAATTTCGAATTATCAAGAGTCTACTGTAGATGCGATACATCGATTTTCGTTGGTCGAAATATCGAAAATTCGATTTTTACGAAATTTTAACCTAAAAATCGCCAGATCGCGCTCGGCATTTTTAGCGCGACCTTCGGGAAAAATCATCGGCATTTTTTGAGCGTTACTTTTATTTCTCGCCTGGCACTCTAAGGGTTAAGTTAACATTTCTATAATCACCCTCTAGTAATCAGACTTCATTCCATCCATAAAAAAACCATTAGCATACTGTTAAGGAAAAATGTAAAACACCATTGCCAGTGTCAGGGAAGACAAAAGAAAAAAACTGAGTTATGTAATTCAGTTTTGCACAAATGCACAATGTTTTCATACCAGTTGAATTTGTCTTATCAAACCTTAACCTTTCATACATTTGTGTCTAAAGAAGTTCAAATTAGCCTACCCGTGTTATTTTAACATTGATTATATATGGTAGTTCTGAGGAAAGTTTTCAAATGAAGCGTATTCCAGTGAGTTTTGTTTGTTACAGGAGAAACCAACCAGATTATGGTATCTGCGAGTGTGCAACGTGTCAGTGAGTGGACACTATGAGTGAGTGTGAGTGATATCAAGACTCAAACTGAATACTGGTGTTACTTTTGTTTATTCGTATGTTGTCTGTTTATCGTTTTGATACCAATCAATACATCGTATTTAGATATCAACTTTTTTTCTTCAGACAATGTAGTTAATGTTCGATTGCCCTACATTTGGTACTTCTCCCAGGTTGGTTGATTATGTGACAAATAATTTTTATATAATTGTCATCGTTATCAAATGTACATATTCACTCACATTTTTAAACTTTATTTTCTAAAATAAGGTTAGTTTGGTGCCGACTCTTAGATTTGTTGAATTAGCTTAATTTTGTGTTTATTTCAATTCAGTCCACGCAGTGAGTGTTAATTGATGAGAAGGTTTTAGTCTAATTATAATATCTTGTTATGGTTTTTGCACAAGGACAATTATCCTGAATAATGTGTCAGATTATTTTAGGATCTATCATTAATATATTTCATGATTCGTTCCTACAGTTGATAAAACTGATTCAGAATAGTTCTTAGACAATTGGATACACGAAAAGCTGAGTCTCACAAGTTATTACATAACAAAAAGTTTGTGATTTCCAAAGTATCATTTAAATTGCATCGGTTATTTACTGAATGTATTGATTATATATCGATAATATATATTGATAATCGAATTCAATGATTGAGTATTTTTAGACATGCAGTTGATGTAACTAGTTTCTGTTTGGATCGGGTCTTATAATTTTGTCTGTGGAAAGTTGGTAAACATAAAATTCAGTTTTAACTTTTTATTTTTACTGCAAACAATCAAGAATCCAGGCAGAAGTATGATTTAGTATTATTAATTATAACTGAACACCTGGCTCTCGTAAATCGTTAATTTTTACTAATATAATTTCACATAACTCCTAGCCTGTTCGTGTATATTCCTTATTTTAGTCACGTGTAAATATTTTGGTAATTAGATCAAATTTATCTTTTCTTTAGATGTGACACTTGTATTCAAAATTTTGTAGGCTGCGGAGACAATATTTTGATAGTTTTTGCAGAGAAAGGGTGTTTTTGTTTGAGTCGCAAGAGCAATAAGTGTGAGTAAGCCAAACAATTAAATGTGCCTTATACATGTTCTTTACGCAAATTTAATTATTTTCAAGATTTATTCAAAATTGTATTGTTTTCTGTCACATTTTTTTACTGTATGTGAAATTGAAAAAGTAAAAATTAATGGTGAAATCATTTAAAGCAAACATGATGATTGCATTATGTAGAGTGAACAAATAGGATGTAGTAGGGACTAGAGTCGGCACCAGGGCTCAGATTGTGTCAGCTAAGTAGCATCAGTTTTTTTATCAGAAAAACCATCTTTCTAATTAATTGTTGATGATTTTATAAATAAAAAAAATTTGGTGTCAAAGTAAAGGATTAGTTCAATTATGGCTTTTTTATGGATAATCATTTAATTACATTTAGTTTTGTGACAATGTGAAAGTCCAACAAATTTTGTTACAGAATACTTAGGCTGTAAGATTTATTTATGTGTGTATTTATTTAAAGCTTGTACATTAGGTATGTTATAAACGGGTTTATCGATTATGAACGTAATACAAACGCATATGATTTGATTCATTGATAGTTATTCAATTAAATTCTTTGGGACAGCGACGCACACTCGGGTGCATATTTTAAGCTGTGTGGTGATTAGAGTGAGGTGACTGACTAAGATCAGCTTTAAATTGAACAGCCTTGACACCCTTTTCAATTGTAAGTTGAAGATCTATTTACTTAGTTGCTATATAGTATGTGAAATGTAATCATTTTGTGATGAACATCTTTTGAACTTATGACAGTTTATCTTTATTAGTGCTCTTCAGCATTGCTGACAACTAAATAAGTGGATCTTCATCTTATTATTTAGGATCAGCTGTTTCATTAGTCACGATCAGCCTAAATAAATACATATGTGATCGATACTGTAATTTCTCCGTTGTCTTATCTATTGTATATATGTTGATTACATTAAAATTTAAGCTTGAACTGTAAACTTTTGTGCAAAATACATCAGACAGATTTTTCTCATGTTGCCAACTAAATTACTCACCTAAACATCCAGAAAATCCTTCCTTTAAACCTGTTGTACCTTCACAGGAGTTTGTATACAAGATTAACATTGTTATTGGGCTAGTAAATCAGTTGCTTTTCCACATCTGATTTTGTTGAAACAATTATTTATGTTTACATGTGCAATTCGCCTATAACAATGCTAAAAAACAACATAAACGCATATTCTAAAGGTATAATCAGATTGTTTAAACAAAAGCCTGTTTAGCTATCAACGTTAAATGTAAAACATGTCACCATGTAACTATAGAACCATCCCATCAATATTGGGAAACTTTAATGACTGGTTTCATGGTCTTTTCCAGTGTCTCATAAGTTTGTCAATAACCTGTGAACTGTCAAAAGTTCATTAAAAAGTTACCTGAAAACTGATTAAATAATACATTTTAAGAAGCACAAATTATACTTTAATATTCAAATTCTGGTTGGTTTTTGTTCATTAACTAATTTCCAGTGCTGATTTATTCTTGTATTTTATTTTAGTAAGCTTATTTTTTAATGTTAAAATCCAATTACTTGGCTCAAATTAAAGTTAATGTAGTACTTAGCAGAAGTATTTCTCCTGTTTTGAGACAATTCCCCTTTCCACAATAGACTTTCAATGAAGGAGCAAAGAAAAGTTTTTCTATAGTCTTAAGTCTTAAAGTATTATACATTTGAAAGTATGCCTATTGTTTCCTATTGTTGATTTTATTTGTCTTAAGTTTTTCTTGAAAAATATATACATTGGTACTTTTACAGTAAAAGGAAAATGGAAAGAAAATAAGCAAATCTCTTAAGAAAATAATTGGCATATCAGACCATATTGGTAAGTCTTCCTGCGGACTCTTGAGGTTTTAAGTTAGTCTTAGATAGTGGTGTGCAAAGCAGCAACAAATTTCGATTCGAAGCAACGATTTGATTCAAAGGATTTTCAATTCGATTCAATGCAACTTGATTCGAAGCAATGCGGCATTTTTCTATTCATACAGATCAATGGAGTTGATTAACAATTTACCACATTTGTATAATGCAAATTTTTGTTGATGTGGTTCAGATTCAGATTCTTTATTCGTCACAATACATTTTCCTCCCCAGCACAGCTGGTGATTATTTATACAATAGTATACTTTGTTTAGCAGCAGGGACTGTACTTCTTTCTTAAACTTAAGATCATTATCAATATTCTTTATCCTGTTTGGTAGCTTATTATATAATTTTTCCCCAAAATACTGAAGCAACTTTTCAAAGGAACTTAATCTATGAATAGGAAACTGGAAATCATTTCTGTTCCTAGTCTGATAATTGTGAATATGTTGATCTTCCATCAACATATTAAAATTAGATTTGACATAAAACAGACATTTACTAATGTACATAGATGGTAGTGTTAAAATTTTGAGTTCCCTAAAAATAGATTTACAGGATGTTCTAGGTTTAGAATTTGTCATGATTCTAAGATATTTTTTTTGTAATTTAAAAACAGACCCCATACCCGAACTACCTCCCCAAAGTTTAACACCATACTGCATTGATGAAGCGAACAATGCATGATATACAATCAATCTCGTCTGTAAGTCAGTAATTTTTTGCAGAACAAACATTTGAAAACAAAGAGAATTTAATTTTTTGATCAAAATATCAATATATGTTTTCCAGTTTAGTTTTTCATCAACCTCGAGACCCAAGAACTTTGTTGACTTTACAATAGGAAGGTGATCATCATTTAATATTATTTGATTAAGATTTTGTTCCTGTCTTTGCGTAGTGCTAAAATTGATTACATTAGTTTTGCTACTATTTAATTTAAGACCATTGGCCTTGAACCACACTTGCAAATCTGTGAGGGAATTCTGAATAATTTGCTCTAAATCTAAAATGTTGTTTGATTTAAGAATGGCTGTAGCATCATCTGCATACAGAACAATTTTGAAATCAAAATTTTGTGCTAAATCGTTTATATAGATTAAAAACAGAATAGGACCAAGAATTGAACCCTGGGGCACGCCCCGTGTTCCTTTCCTCCATTCAGATTTAAAAACCATATCATTTTTTTTAATAACAGTTCTGTGGTGTCTACCAGATAGGTAACACTTAACCCAAGATAATGCGAAGATGCAAAGTTGTAAACTTTTAACTTATCAAGAAGAATATCATGTACCACACAGTCAAAAGCCTTGGATAGATCGCAGAAAACACCAGCTGTGGTCTGCGATCCATCCAAGCACTCCGATACACATCTGATTAAATCTGCTATGGCTAAAACTGTGCTCTTATTTTCTCTAAATCCATATTGTTCCTTGATAAATAAATTATTGTCTTCAAAAAATGATAAGATTTGTTTATTAGCTATTTTTTCAAAAACCTTTGAAAATGTAGGAAGCAGGGACACCGGCCGATAATTGTCAATATCCAATTTACTTCCTTTTTTAAACAGTGGTTTTATTTCTGCATATTTAATTTGGTAAGGTAATGTTCCAGAAATGAGTGACTGATTTATAATATTTGTTAATGGTTTTGAAACTTGATTGGCAACCCTTTTCAATAAAAACAAAGGAACCTCATCCCATCCTGAAGATCGCTTGTTCTTCAATGATTTGATTATTTTATTAACATGATTTTCCTCTACTGGACTGAAGTGAAAAACTGGTAAACTTTGACTCCACTCATTTTTTTTCATTGCAAATCCAGGGCCGGATTTCCCAATAGGCCCAGTAGGCCCGGGCCTATGGGCGCAAGGTCCCAGAGGGCGCACGGCCGAGGGTATTTTTTTATACTAGGCTATCTAAAAATAAAAATAAATAGTCATAGTTGACAAAAAAACTCCAAAGCATTGTGATTCTGAAGTTTATAGGAAGAAATAATGGTTAGGAACTTGAAACTATTTTTCAGAATTACGCATCAATTTTGTTACGAAATTGTTAACGAA